AATTTTGTTAAAAAATAAGAAACAGGCCAGCGTGGTGGCTCATACCTGTAATTCCAGCACTTTAGAGGCTGAGGTGGGTGGGATCATCTGAGGTCAGGAGTTCGGAGACCAGACTGACCAATATGTGGAAACCCCACTTCTCTACTAAAAATACAAAAAAATTAGCTGGGTGTTGTGGCATGCAACAGCTCCTGTAGTCCTAACAACTTGAAAGGCTAAGACAGGAGAATGGCCTGAACCCAGGAGGCAGAGGTTGCAGTAAGCCGAGATCGTGTCACTGCACTCCAGCCTGTGAGAAATGGGAAAGTTCTTCAAAGATTATAAAAAGTCACAATTTCTTACTATAAGATTGCTATCCACTTTGTGTGTGTGTGTGTGTGTGTGTGTGTGTGTTCTCAATCAGCTGCCCTAGCTTGCTCCAGCATGCCTGGACAGAACTAGACAAGCTCCAGCCCATAGTGCATGCCATTCCTTATTTGGAGATGCTGAACTATCCCTGGGCAACTTCCTTTTCTTTCTTTGTTCTATCCCCCTTACCTAATTAAGAAAGTTTTAAACTAATAGCCAGTCGGGTAAAGTGTAAAATGTGAGGTCCTATTCCAGCCAATGGAAACTGGACACAGCAGTAGGGTAGACGTGTCAGTCTCCTTTGGGTAGGAGGGTAGAGTGTGCTCTCGTGACTGGACAGTTATTGAGTAGCACCCTTTCTGCAGAAAGTAAAGCTCGCCTTTACTTTCATTGTTCATTTGTTTCATCATTTGTTCCCATGTTAATTCTTTTTTTGTGTGACACCAAAAACTTCATTCCCAGCAAGCCTGGGTGACAGAGCAGGACGCTGTCTTTAAAAAGAAAAGAAAAGAAACACACACATTAGCCTAGGCCTACAAAGTGTCATAATTACCAGTATCAGTGTCTTCCACCTCCCACACGTCTCACTGGAATGTCTTCAGTGGCAGTATTTTGCATGGAGCTGTCCTATCCTATGATAACAATGCATTCTTCTGGAGTACCTCCTGAAGGACCTGCCTGAGGATGTTTCACAGTTAACTTTTTTCATAAGTAGGAGTACACTCCAAAATCATGATTAAAAGTGTAGAATAGTACAATACAGTATAGTATAGTATAGTATAGTATAGTAATTAGTATAGTATAGTATAGTATAGTATAGTATTAGTATAGTAAATACATATGCTGACAACATATTCATTATCCTCAAGCATTAAGTTCTATACACAAGTTGTATATGCTATGCTATTATACGACTGGCATCATAATACACCAGCATCACCACAAACAACATCACAACAAACTTGTGAGTAATGTGTTGCACCACAGGGTTATGTAGCTACTACATCACTAGGTGATAGGAATTTTTCAGCTCCATTACAAGCTTATGGGATCCACCATCATGTATATGCAGTCCATTGTTGACGGAAACATCAATGTGCAGTAGTACACTGACAGAATTTTTTAACATCAGAATTTTTAGAAGTATTCATTATACTATGTTGAATTAGAGTTTCAAATTTTATGCTAATTTGATTAAGCAATATACAATTGATTTCTAATCTTTGTTATAATCTGTTATATCAATTTTGTATTTCCAGAGTTGAGTTAAACTCATTTTGTTCTTTTGACCTGTGATCAACATCTTGCTTAAACTCATTTTTTAAAAGTTCAAGTCAAACTATCTTAATGAGCTGTTTTTGAGTTGATACAGCAGAGTAAAAGAAATAGATTATATTTGGGAAAAGTCTTAAATAAGACAAGTGTTTAGTGAGAAAAAGTAATTTTATTAAATTTGGAAATTGTAACTAAATATTTGGAATTTAAATACTTAAAATTTATATTATGGTATTGCTATTAAACTATGTTTTAATTTCATATGTTTTCATTAATGTTGACTTGTAGTTACATTTGTGTAGTATTTTGCTGATGAATTGCCTTTGTATTCCAGGCTTTCATGTTACTCTGTGATCTTCTGATGATTTTCAGCCATCAATTAATGACAGGTGGCAGAGAGGGCCTTCAGCCTTTGGTGTTTAATCCAGATACTGGACTCCAGTCTGAACTTCTCAGTTTTGTGATGGATCACGTTTTTATTGACCAAGACGAGGAGAACCAGAGCATGGGTACTTGTAGCTATCATCTTGTCAATATTGATTTTGTTTTACCAACCCCAAAAGATAGGAGAAAAGAAACAAATTCAATTGTAAAAATTATCGAGATTTCTTTCTTTTAAAAAAGTTGGCTGGGTGCAGTGGCTGATACCAGTAATCCTAGCACTTTGGGAGACCGAGGCAGGAGGATTGCTCGAACCCAGAAGTTCAAGAGCAGCCTGGGCAATATGGCGAGACCTTGTCTCTACAAAACAGAAAAAAACTAAAATTAAAAAAAAAAGCTAATAGTAGTTCAGAAACCAACAAGAATAAAAATGTACATAGTGAAGTCTCCCTCCTTTAACATTGTACCTCAGATCTTTTCCTGTCGTTATATAAAGAGCTCTTTCTCTAACAGCTCTACAGCATTTCTTTATGTAGATATAGCATAATACGTATAATCCATCTCACATAAATTGACATATGGCTAGTTTCCAGTCATCAACTATTACAAACTATGGTATAATGAATAGTAGTGTACATTTGTCATTTCCCACATGTACAAATGTGTATGTAGGATAGATGTTGTTTCTAATTGGCTATAACCGGGTTCATACTTTTTCTAAAGGAAAGTATCCAGGTTCCATTCTATTCCTAAGTGGTCATTATGTATTACTTAAATGAACAAAACATAACTGTTTGATATTAAATGCTGAAAAAGTGTTATTAAACCTCACTAGTGAAAGTTGTGCTGTGCCTGCAGAGTGATAACTTAGCAATATTAGACTGAATTGTTAATGATTAGTTGTAAATAAGTGTCACTTAGAATAGGTTATTTGTGAAATAGATTATTTAAGCTCTGTAAAATAACGTAAGAAGTATATTTGATCCACAAATCTATTTGATACTGTTCAGCTGTTCTTTTAGAACATTTTGGAAAATACTAGTCTGTAAAACAGTATATTTATTTAGAGTCTGTTTTCATCTCAAGAGACAAATTTACCTGCTACTTGTCTTAAGAAAAAAATGTCCACTTGTCAAACCACTGATGCTTCACAATAAGACTATTTAGTAGAAAGGAGAGACTGCCAGCAAATTCTTTTTATGAATCTATACATATAAGGAAGAAAAAAAAGAAGATAAGGGCAGGCCAGGACAGGAGAGGGTCAGTACGGAGCCTGAAGCAAATGTTATCATCTGGAGTGCTGTTGGCATGTTTTTTCTAGGATTAGAAATAGAAAACCCAGTAGAGTCTGAAACTTATAAATTTAAGAAAGAAACACACTTGTTTTGAAAGTATTTGATAGGGCTTTAAAATTTTTTTTGATGTGCATAACATGGTTTGCAAAATATTTTGTTTCTCAGTTGATAATGTAACCATGTTTAGGATGAGCACTGAAAATTTAACTCATCCATATTTCCATTTCTTCCCTAAATATTTTTCTGAAAGAAAACTTTTTCCCTGTGTCTTAAAAATTTTCAGAAGTGTTCTCTCTGTGAGAATGTATTAACACATAAGGAATATTGAAATAAGAAAAGACAGCATTTTAAAGGTAAACAGATAATTTCACAGTATTGCTTTGACACAAGTATCAGAAAAACAATCTTTTTATACAGCTGTCCCTAAGTATTGTGGGGGATTGGTTTGAGGACTCTCACTCATACCAAAATCCATGGATGCCCAAATCTCTTAAATAAAATGGTATAGTATAGTCAGCCCTCCCTATCTGTGGGTTCTGCATCCACAGATAGGGAGGGTAGACTACATATGGTTTGCTTATCTTATTCAGTCTTTACTATGGTAATCTCCTAAGAAGATAGGAACCTTAGTACCTATTTAGTGTTTGATAAATAAGTAACTAAATACAGCACCCTAAAATAATTAATGTAACAGTTTTTATCCCATCTAAAACTGATTAGTACTATTTGTTAAGTTATAATATTAAGCTAATTTTCAATTATACAGATTATCCGCATTGTTTTACGTGGATAAAGTACCAGAATTCATAACCAATTTATAATCTGTGTTTAGAGGGTGATGAAGAAGATGAAGCTAATAAAATTGAGGCCTTACATAAAAGAAGGAATCTACTTGCTGCTTTCAGCAAACTTATCATTTATGACATTGTTGACATGCATGCAGCTGCAGACATCTTCAAACACTACATGAAGGTATAGTTAAATATTCTTATTTTTCTCCTTCCTCTAACTGGCAGAGAAATTTGCAATTGGAAGGATGAAGACAGAAGCTAAAATTGACAGCTTTTCACCTGTGTAATGTGGATGATTTTATGATAAAGTTTCTCTCTTTTCTATAAGCTTTTTATCAGTCTGTACTATTATATCCGTTCCACTGAATAGGAGTTCGAGCATTTATATGAAAGAACATACTTTTTAGCTACTTTCATAAGCTCCATTTTGTTCCTGACCCTCTGAAAAAGCAGTGCTCAGAACTCTTCTTGATGTGGCCCGACAGGCACAGATGGGAGGAAATACTTCTCAGTTTTCCTGTATTTGCCTTGTTCTTGTGTCACAGAGAATATTCTCTTTTGCCTCTATTTAGAATTTTGTATGTGCCATTTGATCTACTTGTGTCTTCATGTTTGGATATGGTCCAATTCCAGTTATGATATAGTAGCTGATTTATCATATTTTGCTGAACAACTGTAGTGTGATGAGTAATGTGCTGGTAGCCAGAGGTTTAAGTAAGACATGATTTCTGCACTAAGGAGCTTACAGATTAAGAGTTAACTAATATGTAAACATAATGTAGCATACTGATAATGAATGACTGCCGTGTGTTCATGCCATTTATATTTGAGACACTGTTGTAAGACTTTCACATTATCATTGATCTTTCTAATAACCCTGTGATGTAAGAAATAGTATCATCATTTACATATAAGGAAACTAAGGATCAAGAGGTAAACCTTCCAAGGTCACACACAACTATTAAAGTAACAGAAACTGGGATTTTATTTTAGGTTTGTCTAACTTCAAAGCTTAGCTCTTTTCACTGGACCACAAAGCTTCAGCATGATTCTTGTTGTGATAGATGTATAAATTACTAACCTAACACCAAATATAGAGAGACACTTAAGTGAGAAGAGCAAGAGAAGAATTCCTAAAGCTAATATGTAAACAGAGTTGCATGGATGAATAGGAGCTTACTAGATGAGCATGGGAAGGAAGACAAGCCCTTGCCAAGACAGCAGCATAAATATACCTACCTGTTTCAGCTCATTTTTCTCTACTTAGTCCACAAGGAAATCATGAAAGAGCTTGTCAAACTAATTATTGATATCCAAATAGACTGTGATAATTTGCATGTTGAACCTTTCTAAAAGAAAATGTCATGATCTGTTAGTAAACTTCTGCTTGCTTCCAATGACCATTTCCTTTCCAAATATTCGCAGGTGCTACATTTAATAGTGTATTCTGTAATCTTAGGCTCAGCATCAAGCTCACTGATGGTATTGTTCAGAATAGTTATTCCTCATCCTGATTTTCCATTGGTCACCTGGAACATTATTGCAAATTGCATGTTCCTGGGTCCCACTAAACCTAATGAGAAATATCTAGGGTGGATCCCAGGCATTTGTGGAGGAGGGGTTAATTTTCCATATAACCTTCTTTCCCTTTGGAAAATCAGAACTATGATTATCTTTCTCTGTCCTCTAGCATCTTTCCTATTCTTTACCATTTCTTAAAGAGCACAAAGTTTCCATAATCTCCACAAATTTTGTTAAGACACAATTCATCTGGCCTAGGAAACTAATTCAGTTTGGAACAACTTGATGCTTTCATTATCTCTTCACTAAACCTGGATGTTAGTTCCATTTTATAAGTGTTTATTCTACCCTTTTTATATAGTTTTCTCTTTAGCAGGAAATAAAGAGGCATAAAATGTGTTGAGTTCTGGTTTTTCCTGGTAATCCTTTAACAATAGTTCATTGGTTCCAAGAAGCAAGTCTTATTCAGAATTTTTATCATCCTTAACATTTCAGGGACACTTCTGTTCATTATAGGCTCTAACCTTTTTGTGAGTATTGTAATAGCTATTTGCTCTTCTGATATATGGCTATGTGGCTTTTCCTCCATCTTTTGTACATAATTAGTTCAATCTGAACTTAAAAGAAATCTGCCTGCTCCAGTACTTTAGTGTTTTGATATTTCTCTTTTTTTCTTCATTGAGATAATTCTTCTTTGCACTAAAAGGGTGATCCTTTTGAGCTGTTCGCCTTTTAGCATTTCACATTGTGGAAACATACCTATGTTTTTGAGATTTTGAAAATCTAATTGCCAAACTGTTATTAATCACTTCTTCACATAGACTGTAGACTTTAGCTTGGAAACAATATCCAGATTTAATGGTTTTAAATGAAACCTTTTGATTATTTACTCACAGAAAAAATTCTTTAAATCTTATGTCAAAAAACTGAATTATAACTTTTCCCAGTCACTGTTGAAAGTGTCTGTGTTGCCGGGCGCAGTGGCTCAAGCCTGTAATCCCAGCACTTTGGGAGGCCGAGACGGGCGGATCACGAGGTCAGGAGATCAAGACCATCCTGGCTAAACGGTGAAACCCCGTCTCTACTAAAAAATACAAAAAACTAGCCGGGCGAGGTGGCAGGCGCCTGTAGTCCCAGCTACTCGGGAGGCTGAGGCAGGAGAATGGCGTAAACTCGGGCGGCGGAGCGTGCAGTGAGCTGAGATCCGGCCACTTCACTCCAGCTTGGGCGACAGAGCGAGACTCCGTCTAAAAAAAAAAAAAAAAAAAGAAAGTGTCTGTGTTTTACTTTTTTATATTTCGATAGTAAAATATAGACATGTTGATAGGGGTTTGGGGGATGAGATAGTACACAAAGTATTAAATAAAGAGTTAAGTCTGTTACCCTAATCCCCCCTTCCCCCTGTTTAGGCCCACCCCCCCGGAAGTAAGCAGTTTTAACTGTTTTGGTTTTAGTTCTTCAGGAGACTTCTACCAAAATTTCTGTTTCTTGATCTGTACATTTTAGATGTTGTCTGTTCAATCATGTTTTAAAGAATGGGTCCGGGCACAGTGGCTCACGCCTGTAATCCCAGCTCTTTGGGAGGATGAGGCTGGTGGATCACTTGAGGTCAGGAGTTCAAGACCAACCTGGCCAACATGGTGAAACCCCGTCTCTACTGAAAATATAAAAATTACCCAAGCGTGGTGGCACACACCTGTTGTCCCATCTACTTGGGAGGCTGAGGTGGGAGAATCGCTTGAACCCAGAAGGCAGAGGTTGCAGTGAGCCGAGTCATGCCATTGCACTCCAGCCTGGGCAACAGAGTGAGACTTCATCTCAAAAACAAATAAAAACAAAAACAAAAAACAAGAATGGACAAGGCGAGGTGCAGTGGCTCACACTTGTAATCCCAGCATTTTGGGAGGCTGAGGTGGGTAGCTCACTTGAGGTCAAGAGTTCAAGACCAGCTTGGGCAACATGGCAAAAACCCCATCTCTACAAAAAAAAATTTTTTTTTTTAAATTAGCCAGGCGTGGTGGCACACGCCTGTGGTCCCAGCTATTTAGGAGGCTGGGGTGGGAGGATCACCAGAGCCCAGAGTTGAAGGCTGCAGTGAGCTACAATCACACCACTGCACTCCAGCTTGGGTAAGGTAACAGAGTGAGACCCTGTATCAAACATGAAAAAACAAGAATGGGGAATTTTTCTCACCACCTCTCTTCCTGGAATTCCCAGCTTTTTTGGTTTTACTAATATTAGTTCATAATCTTAAACATCAAATGTGCATTCCTTTAACTTTAGACAGTTATTTAACTCCTGTTATGTTTAAGATGAAGAAATTAAACACTTATTTATTTACCTTTCCTTTCTTTCACCAACCTGTTCTTTTTTTTTTCCATTTTCAAAGGAGGTGACACCAACCTATTCTTTATCTCATGAAATTTCAATAATTTTAAAGCTGTGTTTTCTTTTTTTCCCTCACAGTATTACAATGACTATGGTGATATTATTAAGGAAACACTGAGTAAAACCAGGCAGATTGATAAAATTCAGTGTGCCAAGACTCTCATTCTCAGTTTGCAACAGGTAAGAAATTTGGAGAGAGGGAGACAAAGAATAGAAATAACATTAATTGCACTTCTCTGTGCTTAATATTTGCTAGGTATCTTGTCTCATTTAAACTAGGTCATTTTATATAGTTTTGTCAGTGCATTACGGTGGATATTTTCTGGTACAAAGACATAGGTTAGGTATCTTTTCTTTTGGAAGAAAATCCTAGAGTTCATATTTCAAATAGATGTAATCCTAAGGTGATTTATTCTTGGACTAGATGAAATGTGAAATTGGAAATTTAAAAAGTAATAATTTAAGAAGAAAACTATAAAAAGTATTTCATGAGGAAGGGTACCAGGAGATAAAATGTTTTTCATATTGCATAAATAAGATTTCTAATAAATGCTTAGTAATTTAAAATTATTTCAGGGGGCCTGGTGGATATATATATGTGATATGTGCATATTTATAAATACATAATATGTATATATGTTTGTATGTAGTTTATGATAAAAGTCTCATATCAGTGGCAAAAGGATTGGGACTATTCAGTAAATGGTGATGGGTCAGCTGACTGTGTATTTGGCAAAATAGCTGTTTATAGTCCTACCTAATGTGTATCCACAATAACTACTAGATGGTTTATATATAAAAGGCCAAAAGTAAGGGTTTATGAGAAAATAAGAGGATATTTTTTAAATCCTCTTTCTAAAGAAGTCACAAAGTTAAAAATTGATGATCTGTTCTTCTTCTTTTTTTTTTTTTTGTAGAGATGTGTTTCACCATGTTGGCCAAGCTGGTCTCAAACTCCTTGGCCTCAAGTGATCCACCTGCCTCGGCCTCCCAAAGTGCTGGGATTATAGACATAAGCCACCTTGCCCCAGCCAATCTGTATAAATTTATATAGATTAAATAGATGTATACATCAATTTGCACTTTGAGCAAAGTTAAAAAAAAATGACGGGGGAAATATTTTCAGTCCTACATAGCAAATCCTACAGATCAGTAGGAAAGATAAATAAATCCCATAGAAAAGTGAGCAAGGGATATGAAAAAGGCACTTTTCCAAGGAAGAATCTTACAAACCAGTAAACATGAAAAGAGGCATTAGGCTGGGCGCAGTGTCTCACACCTGTAATCCCAGCACTTTGGGAGGCTGAGGCAGGTAGATCACCTGAGGTCAGGAGTTCAAGACCAGCCTGGCCAACATGGTGAAACCCCGTCTGTACTAAAAATACAAAAAATTAGCTGAGTATTGTGGTGGGTGCCTGTAATCTCAGGTACTCAGGAGGCTGAGGCAGAAGAATCATTTGAAGCCGGGAGGCGGAGGTTGCAGTGAACCGAGATCATGCCATGGCACTCCAGCCTGGGCAACAGAAGTGAAACTGTGTCTCAAAGAAAAAGAAAGGAAAGAGGCATTAATTAATTATATATAACATAAATAATTAATAATTAATAAAAGCCAAGCACATTAGCCCACACATGTAATTCCAGCACTTTGGGAAGCCAACGCAGGCGAATCGCTTGAGCCCATGAATTCAAGACCAGCCTAGGCAACATGGCAAGACCCCCATATCCAAAAACAAAAATAGCCGGATGTGTTGGCATGCACCCTGTAGTCCCAGCTACTTGGGAGGGTAAAGTGAGAGGATAGCTTGAGCCTGGGAGTTCAAAGCTGCAGTGAGTCATGATTGCACCACTGCATTCCAGCCTAGGTGACAGAGTGAGACCCTATTTCTAATAATTATTATTAATGAAATACAAATTAAAATGGATATTTCTTGCTCAACAGATTGGCATGAATTAAAATGATTGATAAAGATATAGAGGAAAAGGCCCCTTTTTAAAACTGCCTTCTTAGAAGACAGTTTTGTAGTATATTCCAAAATTGAAGATATATATTCCCTTTAAACCAGTAATTTTGCTTCTAGGTATGTATGTGGATATGCACAGGTGTGTACCAATAAATATATGTAAAAGATGTTTTATTGCAGCAGTCTCTATAATAGTAACAAACTGGAAATAGTCTAAATGTCAACAGGGGAATTGTTAAATAAACTGAGATAGATAAAGGATTTTTAAGACAAAATGTTGAGTGAAAAATGGCAAGTTTCAGGACAAATGCAGTATGCTACTATATATGTAAAAATAAAAACTTTAGTTGTAAATGTAATGTATCTATACTGATCTAGAAAACTTTCAGACTTTAAACACTGGTTACCTTTGGAGAGAATAATGGTATTTGGTAGAAGAGAGAAAGAAGAACTTTTACTTTGATATTCTTTGAATTTTTCACAACAAAATGTATTCTTTGTATTCACTTTAAATGTACACTTTAAGTTTTAAAGTTTAAAGCTATTGTATGTACCAATATGTGAAAACATTTTGAAGTTTAAGAATTTATAAACAGCCTGTAATCCCAGCAATTTGGGAGGCTGAGGTGGGCGGATCACAAGATCAGGAGATAGAGACCATCCTGGCTAACACGGTGAAACTCCGTCTCTACTAAAAACCATCCTGGCTAACACGGTGAAACCCCATCTCTACTAAAAATACAAAAAATTAGCTGGACGTAGTGGTTGGTGCCTGTCGTCCCAGCTACTCAGGAGGCTGAGGCAGGAGAATGCCATGAACCCTGGAGGTGGAGCTTGCAGTGAGCCGAAATCATACCACTGCACTCCAGCCTGGGTTGACAGAGCGAGACTCCTCAAAAAAAAAAAAAAAAAATTATAAACAATTATCTGTGAATAAATTTGAAGTCCCTGGAAGAACTATTCCTTCAGTAATGACACAGCCAATAGTTCAGGCACTGAACTATTGCTGAAGAAAACTAAAAAGGTGCAGAACATATTAGCACCCAAGAGCTATTTCAGTAAATCAGGTGTGATTAGAATTGAGAGATTGGGAGGTGAGAAACTGAAGAAAAGAAATGTCAACAATACTCTTCAGGACCTTTGCTATAAAGGGAATCAGAGAAATGGGTTAGTAGCTGGCAGAGGAAATGGGGTCAAGAAGTTAAGAGTATTTTTAAGATGTATGCATCTAGTACGGAAGGAATAGTTTAGGAGGCAGGAGAGAGCCGTAAACACAAGAGCAAAACTATTGAGCAGGTGAAACCTTATATACTGCCTTCTTGTCTAATACATAGGAGGGAGTGGCTTTAGATGAAAGTCTGGACAGTTCACCCTTCATAACAGGAGGAAAGGTCGATGTCTACAGATGCAATTAAGTTTTTAGATTTGTGGAATGATGATTGCTTGTATATTACGTCCAGGGTTCTGTTTTTGTTATTTTCACAGAAAATAGCTAACAGATATGCAATTTATAAAACTCCACCCAGCTTAAGAACTTTTTGGTGTATTTTGTTACTGGATGGGAAAAATCATAGCCCCATGTATGCAAATGGTCTTCTTTTATATAATGTTCTTGTTTGAAATATAGTAAGTGAAAAAACAAACCTCTTAACCCTGTGTGTCATATATTGTCATTCCTGTAAAAACAATAACAAAAAGAACAGATGTTTATAAATATATAGTGTACTTCTATAAATACATTTCTTTTTCCCATCTCAAAATACGTTCTTTTGGCCAGGTGTGGTGGCTCACGCCTGTAATCCCAGGACTTTGGGAGGCCAGGGCAGGCAGATCACTTGAGGACAGGAGTTTGAGACCAGCCTGGCCAAGATCTCTACTAAAAATGCGAAAAGTTAGATGGGCATGGTGGTACACGCCTATTATCCCAGCTACTCGGGAGGCTGAGGCATGAGAATCACTTGAACCCGGGAGGTGGAGGTTGTAGTGAACTGAGATTGCACCACTGCACTCCAGCCTCCGTGACGGAGCAAGGCTCTCTCAATTAAAAAAGAATGTATTTTTAAAATTATTATTAGAAACAAATTTCTGTCTGCATTTAATCACACCACTGGCATGAAAATTAACTCAAGCTATTAATAATAGACAATTTGTAGAAAGGGAACAGAGTAGCTAAAGTTCAATGCAAGGAGAGAAACCTTTCACCTTATACCTTTTACATATTTTTAAATTACCTATTCTGAAAATAAATAAAATTTTTAAAATTCTGAGCTATAGGTTTTTTCCTCTTTTTTTCTTTCTACCAGTTATTTAATGAACTTGTTCAAGAGCAAGGTCCCAACCTAGATAGGACATCTGCCCATGTCAGTGGCATTAAAGAACTGGCACGTCGCTTTGCCCTTACATTTGGATTGGACCAGATTAAGACACGAGAAGCAGTTGCCACACTTCACAAGTGAGTGAGATAAACACTTTGTTATACAGAATCTGGTTTACTTGAATTTTAATGAAATAACTGTTATTTGACCCATTTTTAAAGTGACAATTGATAGAATTTTAAGTTACAATAACTTTAGAGATTATCTAGTTTAGAGATTCTAAACTGGGAGGACGTTTTTAATTTGAAACAACTTAAACCACCCATTTGTTCATCTTACAAAATATAGAAAGCAAAATTTAATAATATATTATTGTCTGGTCTGTCAGTAAGAAAACAGTGGGTTTGAGAGACTATACAGGCTGGGTGTGGTGGTTCACACCTGTAATCCCAGTGCTTTGGGAGCCCAAAGCAGGAGGATCATTTGGGGCCAGGAGTTCGAGACTAGCCTGGGCAATAGAGTAAGACCCTGTCTCCTACAAAAAATAAAAAAGAGCCAGGCATAGTGGCATGTGCCTGCAGTCCTAGCTACTTGGTAAGCTGAGCCAGGAGGATCACTTAAGACTGGGAGTTTGAGGTTATAGTGAGCTATGATTGTACCACTGCCCTCCAGCCTGGAAAACAGAGTGAGACCCTGTCTCTGAAAAAATAATTACAGAATTATTTGTTAAGACCATACAAAATTGGTTCGGGGTTCATTATTGTGAAAACAGAAGTAACAGAAAACCTTTAGTAAATGCACACAGCTTGGTGCCATTACCAGCTCCAAGAAGCAAATATTCTGGCAATCTATTAATAATTCTGTTTCCAGGGTATCTTGTTACCTCTAAAAACTACACATAGGGGGCTGGGTGCCGGTAGCTCACGCCTGTAATCCCAGCACTTTGGAAGGCCAAGGGAGGCCAATTGCTTGAGCCCAGGAGTTTGAGACCAGCCTGGGCAACATGGTGAAACCCCATCTCTACAAAAAATGCAAAAATTACCCAGGTGTGGTGGCACACACGTGTAGTCCCAGCTACTCGGGAGGCTGAGGTGGGAGAATCACCTGAGCCCAGGAAGTCAAGGCAGTGAGCCATGATAGCACCACTGCACTCCAACCTGGGCAACACAGTGAGACCTTGTCTCAAAAAAAAAAAAAAAAAAAATACACATAGGAATTTAGTTTTGTTGCTCTGTAGCTATTTTTTGTATGTTTTTCCCACCTTACAGTTTCGTACTATAAATATACACAAATATGTCCTATATATTCACATTAGTTTATTATTTGAATTTATCAGATTTTTCTACCTTTTGTGATGATTTTACTACCTTCACAAATATTTGTGTAATGTTAACCAATTGAGAGAACTACACTATCTGGATAAATAAGTTGATATTTTCTTTCACTTCAGGGATGGCATAGAGTTTGCATTTAAATACCAAAATCAGAAAGGACAAGAGTATCCACCTCCTAATCTGGCTTTTCTTGAAGTACTAAGTGAATTTTCTTCTAAACTTCTTCGACAGGACAAAAAGACGGTGTAAGTTGCACATTACAAGAGAAGTGGTTTTTATAATAACACTGTTGTAAATGTTTATTTTTTGAAAAATTTTTAATCATTTGGATATCTTTACTCTTGACATTTTAGGCTCTGATAGTTTAAGGAATTATACATTTTCCTTCAAGCATTTATATAGTAGTAATTTCACTGCTTATCTTTTAGTACCCTAGAATCTGCAACATAAAATTAAGCAGGTGGAAATTACTTCTTATTATGTAGTTCAAAGATGTATGAACATTGGCTTAGCCGTTGTGTAACTCTTCCTTCTTTTATATTAATTTCATTTTAGTTTTATATTCTATTTGACTTGTTTCAAAAGACTGATTTTTTTCATATTTGCTTTTTTTGATTATTGATAACAGTTTAAAGAAATATATATGTAATTTCAAAAGAAAATCTTGATTGGGGAAGTTTTATTTAAAACCAAACCAGAAAACTTTTCTAGGCTGGGCACGGTGGCTCACACCTGTAATCCCGGCACTTTGGGAGGCTGAGGCAGGAGGATCACCTGAGGTCAGTAGTTTAAGACCAGCCTGGCCAACATGGGAAAACCCCATTTCTATTAAAAATACAAAAACATTAGCTAGGCATGGTGGCACGCACCTGTAGTCCCAACTACTCAGGAGGCTGATGCACGAGAACCACTTGAACCTAAGCGGCAGAGGTTGCAGCGAGCTGCGGTCGTGCCACTCCACTCCAGCCTGGGCAATAGAGCAAGACTCTGTCTCAATAAAAAATTTAAAAAAAAATCTTTTTAGAGGATAATACTATAATGAATCCTAAATTTTATAAACTGATAAGACAGAGAGTCCTTTATAATATTCTAGCTGTGTGCAGTGATTCACGCCTGTAAGGAGGCTGAAGCAGGAGGATTGCTTGAGCCCAGGAATTCAAGACCAGTCCTGGCAACGTAGCAAGATCCCATCTCTATAAAAAATTTTAAAATTAGCCAGGTGTGGTGTGTACCTGTAGTCCCAGCTACTTGGGAGGCTGAGATGGGAAAATCACTTGAACCCAGGAATTTGAGGCTGCAGTGAGCTATGATTATGCCACTGCATTCCAGCCTGGGCGACAGTCTGGGGAGCCTGTCTCAATCAATTGATTTTTTAAAAAATAACAAGATTCTAAATAAATAGAATTTTGGAGAGACAGTTAATACTTATATGAATATAAGTGGTAGTTCTAAGTAAAGATGTTGATGTCATGTTAATCAGAAAATATTTATTAAGCGCCTAGTATGGTAAGCTCCTGTTGTAAAGCTTATGCTCTAATGCAGGGGGGTACAGCATAAACGGGCAGATGGCCAGGCTCACTGGTTCCCACCTGGAATCCCAGCTATTCCGGACCTGAGGTGGGAGGATTGTTTGAGGGCAGAAGTTTGAGAGCAGCCTGGGCAAGATAGTGAGACTGTCTCTTAAAAAAAAAAAAAAAAAGCAGACAAACAGGAGAGTTTCAGGCACTGAAATGGGGTAATGTGATAGACAGAGACAGGTGTTGAATATTAGTGGGAGTGGTTTGAAAACATTTTCAATACAGACATTTACAGCTATACATTTTCCTCTGAACATTACCTTAGCTGCATCTTGTAAGTTTTGATATGTTGCATTTCCATCTCAAAGTATTTTCTCTTTTCACTTATTTCTTTAACCTATTGGTTATTCAGGAGTATTTTGTTTAATTTTTATGTATTTCTGTATTTCCAGATTTTTTTTCTGTTACTGGTTTCTTCATTTCATTGTGGTCAGAGATCATGCATTGTATTATTTTAATCCTTTTAAATTTATTGAGACTTGTTTTATGGACCAACATATGGTCTTAGAGACTATTCCATATATCACTTGAGAAAATGTGTTACCCTTCTGTTTTTGGTTGGAGTTTTTGTTCTGTAGATATGTGTTCCGTCTAATTAGCTTATAGTTTTGTTTATAGTGCTTTTCAGGTCTTCAGTGTTCTTGTTAATCTTTTTCTTAGTTGTCCTATTCATTTTTGAAAGTGAGATATTGAAGTCTCCAAATATTACTGTTGAATTTTCTATTTGTCCCTTCAGTTCTGTCAGTTTTTGCTTCATATATTTTCAGGCTCTCTTGTTAAGTATACATTCTTTTTTTTTTTTTTTTTTTAAGACGGAGTCTCACTCTGATTCCCAGGCTGGAGTGCAATGGCTCAATCTTGGCTCACTGCAATCTCCGCCTCCTGGGTTCCAGCGATTCTCCTGTCTCAGCCTCCTGGGTAGCTGGGATTACAGGTGCACGCCACCACACCTGGCTAATTTTGTATTTTTAGTAGAGATGGGGTTTCACCATGTTGGCCAGGCTGGTCTTGAACTCTTGACCTCAAGTGATCTGCCCACCTCGGCCTCCAAAGTGCTGGGATTACAGGTGTGAGCCACCACACCTGGCCTGTATATACATTTTTAATTGTTACATCTTCCTGACCAATTGAGTCTTATTCTAAAGTGTCATTCTCTGTCTCTAAGACATTTTTGTGTCAGATTACTATAACCACGCTAGCTTTATTTTGACTACTGTTTTGCATGGTACACTTTTTTTTTCCATCCTTTCACTTTCTGCCTTTGTAGCTTTTAATCTAAAGTGTGTTTCATGTAGACAGCAAATTGAATCATGTGTTTTTAAATTCAACCTGACATTCTCTACTATTATACTTTTTGTTTTTTATGTATGTCTCCTGGGGTTTTTGTTTCTGTTTTTGTTTTTGTTTTTTGGGGGTAGGGGTTTGGTTCTCCTGTATTGCCTTCTTATATTAAATGTATGTTTTCTAGTGTATCATACTAATTCCTTTAATTAATCTTTCATTGTATTTTTTTAGTTATGTTCCTAGTGGTCTCACCAGGCCTTACAATATACATGTTATCAAAATTTACTGGCCGGGTGCAGTGGCTCACGCCTATAATCCCAGCACTTTGGGAGGCTGAGGTGGGCAGATCACTTGAGGTCAAGAATTCAAGACCAACCTGGCCAACATGGTAAAACCCTGTCTCTACTAACAATACAAAAATTAGCCGGGCATGTTGGCACATGCCTATAATCCGAGTTACTTGGGAGGCTAAGGTGAGAGAATTGCCTGAACCCCAGGGGGCAGAGGTTGCAGTAAGCCAATATCGTGCCACTGCACTCCACCCGGGATGATAGAGTGAGATTCCACCTCAACAAAACAAAATTTACCTAAGGTCTATCCTGGTTTATTCTAAGGAAATACAGAAACTTTAATTCTATATAAATCCATTTCCTTTCCTCCTTTTTTGGCTACTCTTGTTATACATGGTCCGTCTATATAAGAAACCCAATAATAAACTGTTATAATTATACATGAGATAATCTTTTATAGAAACTGAGAAAAGAAAGGAAAGCAAGTATGTGTTTATCGAGTTTGTTATATTAATCTTTCTATTTACCATTTTTCTGGTTTTCTTCTTTTCTTCTTGTGGATTCGAATTGCTATCTAGTATCATTTCTATAATCAAATACAGCTTCTCTTTCACTCACTTTTGTGTTTATTGTCAAATATATTACATTTCTATGTTATTGACCCAACAATACAGTAATATACATATTGTTTTATATATTTGCTTTTTAAATCAGTTAAGAGAAAAGGGATACAAAATTTGTTATTATACTTCTATAACTACCTACAAATTACCTTTACTGGCACTCTTTGTTTTTTCATGTAAATTCAAATTACCCTGTGATGACATTTGGTTTCAACTTGACTAACTTCTTTTAGTAGGCAGGTCTGACAGCAACCAATTCTCTCAGGGGTGGCTCATGCCTGTAAACCCAGCATTTTGGGAGGCTGAGGCAGGAAGATTGCTTGAGCCCAGGAGATTGAGGTTACAGTAAGCGATGTAAGATTCTCGTTTGATAGTTTTTTACTTTCAACACTTTGACCATGTCATCCCGCTGCCTTCTGGCCGCCATTGTGAGCCAGGTGATAAGAATTAATCACTAATTTTATTGGATTTTCTTTGTATGTTGTGAATTACTTTTTTTTTTACTACTTTCATGATTTTCTTTTTATCCTTGGCTTTTAGCATTTTTCCTATGATGAATCCATGTGTGAATCTTTTTGCATTTATCCTGTTTGGAGTTCATTGAACTTTTGGATGTATAAAATTATGTTTTTCATCAAACTGGGCAAGTTTTTAGCCATTATTTCTCCTAAATTTTTCTGCTTTTTCGTCTGCTATCTTGGTTACTCCCATTACACATATGTCAGTATATTTAATGGTATCCCATACTTCTCTCAGGCTCTGTTCATTTTTGTTTATTCTTTTTTCTCTCTCTTCTTCAGATGGCATAACCTCTTGATATATCATCAAATGTGGTGTTTCTTGCCTTTGTCAGCTCAGATCTACTGTCAAGCCACTATAGTACATTTTTAATTTTGATTATACTTTCAACTTAAGAATTTCCATTTGGTTCTTTTTTTTAATTCATATTCTTTATTTCTGAGATATATTGTCATCATACCAACTTTTAAGTAGATTTTCTTTAGTTCTTCGAACATACAGATGCTCCTGGATTTAAGATGGGGTTACATCCTAATACACCCCTCATAAGTTTAAAATATTGTAAGTCAAAAATGCATTTAATACAACTAATCTACCAAACATCACAGAATAATATAGCCTACCTTTAACATGCAGAATACTTACATTAGCCTATAGTTTGATAATATCATCTAACACAAAGCCTGTTTTATGATGAAATGTCAAATATACTATGAAATTTGTTGAATACTAAGTACAAAACAGAATGATTGCATGGGTACTCACCATTAAAGTACACAGCTTCAAAACACTATCATAAAGTTAAAAAAGAATCGTAATCAAACCATTGTAAGTTGAGGACTTTATTTATAATCATTGCTTTGAAATCTTTGTGGGCCAAGGTGCTGTTGCTTGTTCTTTTATCAATGTATCTATCACATTTTCCTGTTTCTTTGTATGTCTCATAATTTTTTCTTAAAAACTGGACATTTGGCCAGCACTGTGGCTCACACCTGTAATCCCAGCACTTTGGGAGGCTGAGGCGGACTGATCACTTCAACTCACAAGTTCAAGACCAGCCTGGGCAACATGGCACAACCCCTTCTCTACAAAAATACAAAAATTAGCTGGGCATGGTGATGCATGCCTGTAGTCCCAGCTACTTGGGAGGCTGAGGTGGGAAGATGGCTTGAGCCTGAGAGGTGGAGGTTGCAGTGAGCCAAGGTTGTGCCACTGTACTCCAACCTAGGTGACAGAGTGAGACCTTATCTCAAAATAATAAATAAATAAAAAGAACAAATGTTGCAAAAATGATATATTGTGAAATAATAATGTAGCTACTCTTTACTAATTATCTGCCCCCTAGAGGTTGATATTATTTTTTCGTTGGTCATTTACTTGTTTAGTTACTTGGATGAACAAACTCTGAAATCTTTTTTCTCTGCCTTGTGCAACCTCTGATGTCTTTGCTTAGATCTTTTTTCCTTTGTTTTTATCATTTGTCTTGGCTGCTGAGGAGGTCACCCTTGGGTTAGCATAAGCCACTTACTGATCAAAGGTGCTTAAGCCCCTTAGCCAGTTAGGTTTACCCTTTACTGTTGGATATGTGTATCGCTTGCAGGCTGCTTTCATAATTAAGGGTATTTACTTTTTTGACCCACATTTTAGGCCAGGTACTAGCAGCTTGGAAGATACCTCTCTGATTGTTCCTGAGAAAAGGCAGCCTTGGCTGTGCACAGTCTTCAGACGACCAGAGAAGCATATTATTTCATTTTTAAGCCTGGCCTCCTAGGAGTTGCTCCTGGGTGTAAGAATAGCTGTTTGTTCAGCCAGTGTTTGGTGAGAGGTTGTATTTAAACCACTTTTGCCAGTGAAGCTTCCTCCCTATGTTGATAGATCTGTATGTGGCTTGGGGAATGTTTCAAGTCTGCCTCATTCCCTTCCCTTGTTTGCCCATGAGTGAAGGCAGCGTAGGATATGTGCATAGCTTTCTCAACTCCCAGGACTTTTATTTTTTATTTTATTTTTTAAACCTGTTCCAAATATGCTTAATGGATAAACAGATGAACTCACAAAATTTGAAACCTATAAACAAAAGAAACGTTAAGCATAGCAATTACTTAAGCAGATCAATAACAATAAAATGTTGTCCTTCTTCCATACAAGAAGAAACATATGAAATGCCAGGTTAGCTCAGCAACCTATTAATAACCACCAAAGACTGGTGATAAAACATTCTTCCAGTGCTGTGATGATTAAAAAAAAAAAAAAAACACAAACACAGTGGAGGATTTGGTAGGCTATGTTCAAATGAATCGAAGGGAGATCCCGAAATTAAGAATCACTTGTTTTTTAGTTTAAAAAAAAGGGAAAAAAATCCTTTTTTTTTTTTTTTTTTTTGAGACGGAGTCTCGCTCTGTAGCCCAGGCTGGAGTGCAGCGGCCGGATCTCAGCTCACTGCAAGCTCTGCCTCCTGGGTCCACGCCATTCTCCTGCCTCAGCCTCCTGAGTAGCTGGGACTGCAGGCGCCCGCCACCTCGCCCAGCTAGTTTTCTTGTATTTTTTAGTAGAGACGGGGTTTCACCGTGTTAGCCAGGATGGTCTCGATCTCCTGACCTCGTGATCCCCCCGTCTCGGCCTCCCAAAGTGCTGGGATTACAGGCTTGAGCCACCACGCCCGGCCCGGAAAAAATCCTTTAAAAAAAATATAGATTTAAGGTGTATATATGATGTCTTGATATACATATAGGTTGTAAAATGATTACAACAGTCAGTTAGTTAACAAATCCACCTCCCAGGATTGACTATGACACCAGGAAGGTTCTTCTTGGCTCTTTCTCTGGTTTTCTCTGTGGAACTTCTGGGTGCTTTGCTCTGTCATTTGTTGCTGCTAGTGTCAGAGAACTACCAGCACCCTCTCATTTTCACTCCATCAAGAGCAGAGGATAGGTAACCCCTGGTTCTCAGCTTGCCCAAGGTTTGGAATCTCTCAACAGGGAGTTTGAGGTGGGGCATTCAGGGCCCCAATGTTCTCAGCCTGCTGTGCCCGGAGTAGCATTTTACCCCAGAGGTGGAGGCTAGGTGGGATAAAAGGAGCTTCATTTTACCTGGTTGCTGTTCAGAATAGAACTTATACAACACAGGGCTGGGAGGTGATGAGAAATGCAAATGGTATGCTTCTTTCTTTCAGGGTAGCCTGGGAACTAGAGAGAGAGGGAACCCCCATCTTCTTGGCCACCTGTCTGGACTACATAGAGTTTCTAAAATATAGAGTTGTAGTGGCAGGGAGAAGGAAACAAGGGAAGGGAACAGGTTGTGGATCAAATGCTACAAACTTTTGCTGTGCTTACCAAAATGTATTAGATTCTCTTTTTTTTTTTGAGATGGAGTCTCACTCTGTTGCCCAGGCTGGAGTGCAGTGGGGTGGTCTTGGCTCACTGCAACCTCCGCCTCCCGGGTTCAAGCGATTCTCCTGCCTCAGCCTCCTGAGTAGCTGGGATTACAGGTGCGTGCCACCATGCCCGGCTAATTTTTTTTGTAGGGACTGGGTTTTGCCATGTTGGCCAGGTTGATGTCAAACTCCTGACCTCAAGTGATCCACCCACCTCAGCCTCCCAGAGTGCTGGGATTACAGGCATGAGCCACTGTGCCTGGCCAGATTTTCTTGAATAAATTTTTCTCCATTTGCTGTATGCCCTTAAGAGAATTGGCAAAGACTTTATTGTATTTTGTAAATTTTACTAGTTAAAAGGTGTTTTCCTGGAAAGAGGGCATGCCAGCCTCCTTACTCCACCATCTTAGAAATCCTGCTTTGGCTTGAACACTTTATGAGAAAACTCAATAATCTTTTTGAGCTAAACTTCTGATTTTTTTTTAACATTGGTGTTTAAAAGCAAAGGAAGAAATATGGGAAAGACCATACATACATACATACCCTTAGGTAATACACTCTCTTGCTTTAAAGTATCCCAAGAATATGTGAAACAAAACTTTCTCGGTCCCTCTCTTTCCAAAGGTGACCACTGTTAATAATTTAATGTGTGTCCTTAGGTATTCTTCAGAACCTGCAGAGAGAGAGCCTCAGATTAAGAAAAAGTGAGTGATGTATGAACTGCTTCCATGAAAATCACTGCTGTTTCTATTGTGTTTCTAGTCATTCATACCTAGAGAAATTCCTTACCGAGCAGATGATGGAAAGGAGGGAAGATGTATGGCTTCCACTCATCTCCTATAGAAATTCATTAGTCACTGGGGGTGAAGATGATAGAATGTCTGTGAACAGTGGAAGTAGCAGCAGCAAAACCTCATCAGTAAGGAATAAGAAAGGCCGACCTCCACTTCATAAAAAACGAGTAGAAGGTAAGTCTGCCTTTACACTATAAGAAACAATTTGCCTGGTTTTAAAGAGAAAAAGTAGCAAATAATCTTTTGAAGCAAGATAATAGTATCAGGCACATGATTTCCTTGTATATTTGATTCACAATGAGATGTTAAGGCAAAAAGATTGGACAAAGTAAGACAGAAAAGCGTCAAGGAAAAAGAAGTTGAGGAAGCATGGAGCATAAAGGAAGAGAGACCAAAAGAGGAAACAATTAGCTAGGTCTATAAAATCAATCCCTATACTATATGCCTCTAATACATTAAAATATAAAGTAAGATAGTCACAATGCTATTCTATTAAAATTCTTCCTAATATAGGTGAGATACAGGTAATTTGAGGGTAGATTTGTGCAGCAAATTGAATATACCAGAATAGTTTTCCAGTTCTACCACTTGGTTGGAACAATAAGACAGTGATGGCCTCCAGGTATGATGGCTCACACCTGTAATCCCAGTTACTCAGCGGAAGGAAGGAGGATCAGGAAATTAAGGCCAGAAATTTGAGACCAGCCTGGGAAACATAGCAGGACTCTCATCTGTAAGAAAAAAAATTTTTTTAATTGGTGGCATGCACCTGTAATCCCAGCTACTTGGGAAGCTAAGGTGGGAGAATTACTTGAGCCCAGAAGTTTGAGGTTGCAGTGAGCTATGATCATGCCACTGCACTCCAGCCTGGGTGACAGAGCAAGACTCCCATCATTTAATTTTTTTAAAAGGCAGTAATGGCTAAATCTGGTTTTATAACCCTCTTGGACTGTGGGGAATGGGAAGTTAAATTGTCATGAAAATCTGATCAGTAGTAGATATTCCTATATGTAAAAATAAATAAATAAATAAAAATTGCTCTATTAAAACATTCCTGTTAAAATTACTAAGAGAAGCCTCAAAGTAAAAATGCTTGTTTTCTCAAATAATCTTCCCCCTTCTCCATGCTTGTAATAAATTTTCTCCAAACCAAGAGGAGGGCTGTGATCTGAGTCCTCTCTCTTGTTCTTTTTATAACTTCTTATCTTTCAGCATCTTACTTGTGCTGCCTAAAAAAATGACTCACTAATAAAGGTTTTGCTAAACTCTATCGCAAAATTAATTAGAATTTAAATCTAATGATTCTTTTCATTACTGGGGAGACAGTATTGACTATTGATGAGGAGTACAAATTCTAACATCAGAGTTCCAGAATTCAGACCTGGCCTTCTCATTATCAGCTATGCAACCTTTGAGCATATTACTTAACCTCTCTAAGTTTCAATCATTCATCAAATGAAGGATGAGCAGAGTATTTATCCTGTCAGTTCCCGTGAATATTAGAAACTACAAATAAACCACTTAGTACACACACAGTACTGAGCACAGTGCTTGGCACATAGGTAGCATTCAATAAATTATCTGAACATTATTGTATAGTAATGCCTCATATCTAGCATCAATCAGTAAATTAGGCAGCATCTGTATTTCTTTTCTTTTTTTAACCTTTGAGTTTTCAAAGCATCTATATTTCAAAAGGAATAAAATAATTAATATAAATGTTACTGTTCAAGTTTAACAAAATCTCCACAAAGTTTAAGATTTCCTTTCAAATTACAGCTTTGGGACTTAAGCTCTTTTTTAAAAGTCCAGAGAAAGAAAATATAAAATCTTGTCTTTGTACTGTAGGATCCTGGACTTTTCTCTAAAGAATGACTACAGGCATTTCTTTCTATTTATTTATTTATTTATTTATTTATTTATTTTTGAGATAGGGTCTCCCTCTGTCACCCAGGCTGGAATGCAGTGACGTGATCTTGGTTCACTGCAACCTTCACTTCCCAGGTTCAAGCAATTCTCCTGCCTCAGCCTCCCAAGTATCTGGGATTACAGGCGCTCACCACCATGCCTAGCTAATTTTTGTATTTTTAGTAGAGACAGGGGTTCACCATGTTGGCCAGGCTGGTCTCGAACTCCGGACCTCAAGTGATCCACCCACCCTGGCTTCTCAAAGTGCTGGGATTATAGGCGGGAGCCACTGCACCTGGCCTTTTTTTTAAATGAGACAGGGTTTCACTCTGTCACCCAGGCTGGAGTCTTGTCCCTGGCTCAAGCAATCCTCCCACTTCAGCCCTCAAACCTCCCTGGCTCAAGCCCCAAAACCTCCCTGACTCAAGCAATCCTCCCACTTCAGCCCCCAAGTAGCTGGGACTACAGGCATGTGCCACCACACCCAGCTAATTTTTGTATTTTTCGTAGAGACAGGGTTTCACCTTGTTGCCCAGACTGGTTTTAAACTCTTGGACTCAAGCGATCCATATGCCTCAGTGTCCCAAAGTGCTAGGATTACAGGCATGAGCCATTGCGTCTAGCCATTCTTCAATGTAATATTCTTATTAGCCAACATTCATCAAATTTTTGCTATGTACTAGGAATATGTTTTAACATGCATTATATCATTTAATCATTTATTTGACTTATATTTGTAAAGCACTTAAGTCAGTCTCTGGCATAAGTGTATAAATGTCTTATAAGTCAACACTATTATCTAAATTTTTCACAAAAGAAACTAAAGCTTAGAGATTTTAACTATCCATAATGTTCACTATTGGTACAGTCAATATTATTTTCAAGATTAAGAGAAGCTTATATGGAACCAGATAACCTAATTTGTTTAAATTACAAAAAAGAAAACTTTGTCAATTTGAGATTTACAAAATGACTAAGATGGGTTGCATGCACAAAACCCTTAGGCTGCAGAGTTTCATCCTTCAGAGATGAAAATGAGAAAGTATTAAAAGAAATATTTTCATTGAGTAATCTTTAAAGGATTAGAAGTATCTATTTCTATTTAAGATGAATGAGTTCTCCCTGGAGTTATCAATTCATTCAGTAAGTTTCCACCAAGTGCCTTCCTAGGAACTGTGCTAAGTACTACAGATTAGGTATTAATATACTGTGAGTGCAGATAGGAGGAGAGAGAACAGAAACAGGCTGTTTGATTTCACCATGGTCAATGCTCTGATGTGCCAAACACAGGAGGTTCTGGGAACATATAGGCAGTGACCAAACTTTTGAATATAGGAAGATTTTCTGGAAAAGATGACAAGTAGTAGACAGCTGACAGTTGAGTTTACCAGGTTCAGAACCTAAGTGATAATAATCTTTTTATCATAAAATTTTAAGTGTGGTAGAGAATAAAAGTTCTGAATTAAATGTTGAATGAAATGTGTTATGAATAGAAGATGATGAAATGTGTCTTTGTTAACTAAGAAGAGATTGAGTAGTGAGCTTCAGATCATAGGAATTACTTTAACCAAGACAATGGGTAGGTATTTCCAGGCACAGAAAAGCCAATCTAGAATGTACATGTCTAACAAAATATCAGAAACCTGAGAAATACAAGGAGAAACAGGATGCTCGATGGCAAAGGAGGAGCCTAACACACACATCTCTGAGACTTAAGGAGAGGAAAAGCAGTGGGATTCATACTATGTATTGGGATTAAAATTCTTCAGAAGGAAAACCAAAGCAGTAATACTTTTTAAGAAGCCTTATATTAGAATAATGTAGTTGGTTTTTTTTGTTTTGTTTTGTTTTTTGAGATGGAGTCTTGCTCTGTCGCCCAGGCTGGAGTGCAGTGGCGTGATCTCCACTCACTGCAAACTCCGGGTTCACGCCATTCTCCTGCCTCAGCCTCCCGTGTAGCTGGGACTACAGGCGCCCACCACCGCGCCCGGCTAATTTTTGTATTTTTGGTAGAGACGGGGTTTCACCGTGTTAGCCAGGATGGTCTCGATCTCCTGACCTCGTGATCCGCCCATCTTGGCCTCCCAAAGTGCTGGGATTACAGGCGTGAGCCACCGCGCCCAGCCTAGAAATTTTATAGGTAGAAACTTGACCGGGCATAGTAGGTCATGCCCTTAATTCCAGCACTTTGGGAGATGGGTGGATTGCTTGAGTTCAGGAGTTTGAGATCAGCCTAGGCGAAGAAGCGAAACTCTGTCTCAAAAAAAAAAAAAAAAAAAAAAATTGGTAATATTTTATCAGGATAGTTTATAAATAATGCTTTAATCTGCTCAAATCTTTATAAACCATCTTAGCCGGTGGCTTACGCCTATAATGCCAGCATTCTGGGAGGTCGAGGTGGGCTGATTACTTGAGGTCAGGAGTTCCAGATCAGCCTGGCCAACATGGTGAAACCCATCTCTACTAAAAATACAAAAATTAGCTGGGCATGGCAGCAGATGCCCGTAATCTCAGCTACTTGGGAGGCTGAGGCAGGAGAATCACTTAAACTTGGGAGGCGGAGGTTGAAGTGAGCCCAGGTCCTGCCACTGCACTACAGCATGCGACAGAGTGAGAGTCTGTCTCAAAAAAAAAGATCTTTATAAACCGTTTTCATAAGTTCTGAAGGAAAAACAGTTCCTAGCCCCTGGAAAACTTAAGTTTTACAGAGACAGTTTACACATATGACAAATTACATACCTGCTAATACAGGATAGTATATAATTAAGTCCTAAGTGAGTAAGAATGTATTTCCTCTAGAAATTAAAAGAGAAGCCTGGGTGTGTTGGCTTATGCCTGTAATCTCAGCAGTTTGGGAGGCCGAGGCGGGCGGATCACCTGAGGTCAGGAGTTCAAGACCAGCCTGGCCAACATAGTGATACCCTGTCTCTACTAAAAATACAAAAATGAGTCAGGCATGGTTGCAGTCACCTGTAATCCCAGCTACTCGAGAGGCTGAGTCAGGAGAACTGCTTGAACCTGGGAGGCGAAGGTTGCAGTGAGCCAAGATCACGCCACTGCACTCCAGCCTGGGCGACAGAGCGAGACTCCATCTTAAAAAAGAGAGAAAAAAAATGTTAAGTGGGGGATTGGGTGGGGGTAATCAGGGAAGGCTTCCCTGAAGGACACAGAGGCATGAAAATGGTGAACCTCTCAACCCATCTCCATATGTATAACCTGGCAAGAAGTTATTGACCAGTGTCTAGTTATGCAAGGGGATTTGCTTATTTCTCCACAAAAGCCAGTCAGATTTTAATTGCTACTGCCTGAGACCCCTGTGAGGCCCAGGAAATAGGCCCTTTATTGCTTGAGCAAACTCTGGCTGGCTGCAATCTTCCCCTTCTAGGATGAATGAATCTTGAGAGATGGAGGGACTTAAAGAGATGATGATGTGATGATAGCTAACATTCCGTGGTTACATACATTACCTCATTTAGTCCCTACAACTTCGTGAGGTTAGGTAATGATGTCCCCATTGTATATATGAGAAAACTCAACTTTGGAAGTTTAATGACTTGTACAGAGTCATTAAAGTCATAGAAGTCAGTGGTGGAACTGAGATTTAAAGTAGGCAGTCTAACTGCATAGCCACACTCTTCACAAGTCTGTGCTATAACTGCCACCAGAGTTCACCCACAACATTCTGTGACCTTAACTGGAATTTTACAGATGAGAGTCTGGATAACACATGGCTAAACAGGACTGACACCATGATTCAGACCCCTGGCCCCCTGCCAGCACCACAACTCACGTCCACTGTACTGCGGGAGAACAGCCGGCCCATGGGAGACCAGATTCAAGAACCTGAGTCTGAACATGGTTCTGAACCAGACTTTTTACACAAGTAAGTAGCAAAAATTTGTCTTCTTGGCAAAAAACCTTTAAAGAAAGTAAAACTATTTAAGAAAAACTTTATTTGTTCATCAGAACATATTGCTGGTCACTTCATGATAAAAGAAGCCAGAAACAGAGGGTAAAAACTTTATGTGAGAAGAGCTATACAAAATCTGCAAACATTGTTGAAGATATCAGTTCCTGGAAGTTCACAGACCTTTAAATGTATGGTGTCTCACTAAGTGCTAATTTCAGTTAGCATTTGCATTTTCATTGGGCAGGTCTGTTTCTTCTCAGGGACTTGCCAAGAAATGCAGGTTACTTCCTAGGCAAGAAAACCTGTAAGAGCCTATGTTGTCAGTAGTCTGAACACCAAATAGACTATATGACCTTTATCATCCATTTAATTAATATTTTGTCTTGTTACATTTATATTTTAAACTCAAACTTCTCATGGATTAAGAATTTTTAAGATCTTACTTGATAAATTCTGAGAATAGTTGCCCTCAAAGAGAGAATCAAGGTCTTACCTTTTCTCCATGCTAGTAATTAAAATGTTTTCTAGTAGACAGGCCTCTGCAAATTGTAGAGAAAGCAGAGGGTGATGGTGTGTTTTGCTTATAAAAATCTTTTGTTGTTTTCCATCCAACTTTGAAATTCTCTGAGCTCCTAACTTATGTTTCTGTGTATGGTGGGGTAATGCTGTGAATTACTCTGATGGATAAGAGGGAGAACTCTCACTTGTACTCAACAAATTTAGTTAGGTTGAAAATGAAAGACAGTGTTAGAAGTATCAAATCCTGGCTTTTCATAAGACCCCTTTGCTCTAAGGGATCAGCCTGCAAACCCAAGAGGATACTCACTGTCACCCATGGTATAACTGGGCTTTCTTGTGCTGCCAAGTATCCTAGAAGGTGGTTTGCCTTATGGCAAGCATCCCAAGATGGGTGAGCTAACCAATATCCCCACCCCTCTTCCTACACGGTGGGTTTCTCCTTATTTTAGCAGCCTGCCTTGCCTCTCTGACCTTACCATTTGTCAGTCGCTGTGGCTATGGTCTGCCTTCTTTTCCCTGCTCCAGGTTTATAGGTTTAATCAAGGTGGTGGCCCCACATGATATAAAGACAGCTTAGAAACAAGTTCATGTGACAGTTTGTATTGGCTAAAAAATCACTAAAGTTTCCTGGCTGGGCATGGTGGCACATGCCTGTGATCCCAACTATTCAGGAGACCAAGGAATGAGAATTGCTTGAACTCGGGAGGCAGACATTGCAGTGAGCCAAAATCGTGCCACTGCACTGCAGCCTGGGTGACACAGACTCTGTCTCAACACCACCACAAAAGAAAATTAGCCAGGCATGGTGGTGCATGCCTGTGGTCCCAGCTACTTGGGAGGCTGAGGTGAGAGCATCACTGGAGCCTGGGAGCCAGAGGTTGTAGGGAGCCGAGATCATGCTACTGCACTCCAGCCTGGGTGACAAAGTGAGACCCTGTCTTAAAAAAAGATTCCTGGCCGGGCGCGGTGGCTCATGCCTGTAATCCCAGCACTTTGGGAGGCCGAGGTGAGTGGATCACAAGGTCAGGAGATAAAGGCCATCCTAGCTAACACGGTGCAACCCTGTCTCTACTAAAAATACAAAAAATTAGCTGGGCGTGGTGGTGGGCACCTGTAGTCCCAGCTACTCTGGAGGCTGAGACAGAAGCAGCCCTTGAACCGGGGAGGCGGAGGTTGCAGTGAGCCAAGATTGCGCCCCTGCACTCCAGCCTGCATGACGGAGCAAGACTCCATCTCAAAAAAAAAAAAATCCTTAAGAGGCATATTTACACACACTTCCATGTGCCAGTAAGTTTAGAGTACAAGTGCAGATTTGACTCCATAAAGACTGAGGAAAAGCTGCTATATTCTTCCTTGTTGAATTCTGGAGAACTTTCAGCTGCCAAGCCAACATAATTTGTTAGTTAGGGGTCTGCTGTCCAGCTAGGTACACCTGTGAGTGGGGCACCAGCCCAAGACAGAGGTCTTGAGAGCCCTTGTTTGGCAGAGATTTGGTTGATAGTTTAAGCATCTAACAGTTAGCCTCAGCCAGCTTCTCTTGGAGACTTACAGATATCTTTGGGCAACTTACTGCCTTTTTAATAAAAAGGCACCAGAATAAATCCAACTAATTCCTACTACATGAGATTAAGTAAACCTACCTTGGCTTTCTTAGCATGGGGCTCATTAGCTAAATTCATCATCTGCTGCTACAAAATTAATAATAGTACCCTCTCTTAGTCCTCAGATGCAGATCTCTTGGTTAGGCCAGCCGAAGTTAGAAGACTTAAATCGGAAGGACAGAACAGGAATGAACTACATGAAAGTGAGAACTGGAGTGAGGCATGCTGTGTAAGTGTTACATTGAGTGTCACAAGAACATAACTATGTGATGCCCATCATTTTGTGAAATGACTTGGGTATCTTTGATGTTCGGTCTTAGGAGTTAAAATTACAATTCATGATATGCTATGCAGCATAGGATAGGAAAGGAGGACGTGAGTTCTTCACACTTTCAGCATTTAAATCCTAACTTTGCCACTTGGCAGCTGCATGGCCTTGGGCAAGCTCTAAAACATCTGTGCTGGCTACGCGTGGTGGCTCTGCCTGTAATCCCAGCACTTTGGGAGGCAGAGGCAGGCAGATCACTTGAGGTCAGGAGTTCAAGACCAGCCTGGCCAACATGGTGAAACCCCGTCTCTACTAAAAATACAAAAAATTAGCCGAGCATGGTGGCGGGCACCTGTAATCCCAGCTACTTGGGAGGCTGAGGCAGGAGAATCGCTTAAATCCAGGAGGTGGAGGTTGCAGTGAGTCGAGATCACGCCACTGCATTCCAACCTGGGCAACAGAGCAACACTCCATCTCAAAAAAAAAAAAATTCTGTGCTTCAGATTCCTCATTTGTAAATTTGGGATAATAGTACCAATAAGAATTTTAGGGTAATTGACACATAGCTAAATAAATATTAACAACCATTATTATTGAATTGTACTTCCTTTTGATGTGTGAGATGAAATCTTGAATGAACCAAAGGAATGATTCTTAATTGTCTTGGAGTTCATTATAATTTGTGTAGTCTGTAGGTCATGATTGGAAGGTGTACTTCAGTTGGTTAGAGTAACTTGCATCTGAGAAACAGCCAGGACTCCAAATGGTGGAGTCTAATGAGCTTTCTGACAATACCTTTTTCTTACCAGTCGGGGTCTAATGGAGGAAGATGCTGAGCCCATCTTTGAAGATGTGATGATGTCATCCCGAAGCCAGTTAGAAGATATGAATGAAGAATTTGAGGACACCATGGTTATTGATCTGGTAGAGAAATTCACTATATTTTTCTTTTGTTAAAATATGTGGGGGCATTGGTGTAAGATGACCCTCTTAGGTTGGGCACGGTGGCTCACGCCTGTAATCCCAGCACTTTGAGAGACTGAGGTGGGTGGATCATCTGAAGTCGGGAGTTCGAGACCAGCCTGACCAATATGGAGAAATCCCGTCTCTACTAAAAATACAAAATTAGCCAGGCATGGTGGCACATGCCTATAATCCCAGCTACTCGGGAGGCTGAGGTTGCAGTGAGCCGAGATTGTGCCATTGCACTCTAGCCTGGGCAACAAGAGCGAAACTCCGTCTCAAAAAAACAAACAAACAAAAATTATCCTCTTATTTTCAGAATTCTGGGAGGAAGGGTGAGGTGAGGAGGAGGTAACATTGACCAAAAACAGTGGGCATTTGGATGAGCTTGGGTGTTTTTCAAGCCTGCTTTCAAAGCAGTCATATTTTAAATTCTGATACTAACAGAAACTGGTTCTTTCTTTTTACCTTCTTCGAAGAGAGCTCATACTAGATCTGTCTTTCAGCATCACATGTGTATCTGGCCTCTTGTGCTTTAAATTTGAGCCTGACAAAAATCTGCGGTGCTTCAGCATAACAAAATGCCGAATATGGGACTTAATTTGTTCAGTATGAGAAGACATGTTTGAGATATGGACTAACCATAGGTGATACTAAGAACTTATTTTTACAGGAATAGTAATGCATGGTGGTTATGTTTTTTTCAAAAGTTCTCATCAGTTATAGACAACACATTGAAGTAGTTATAGGCAAAATTACATAGGAAAGGAAAAACAGACTCAGTGGAATAAGACTGGCCACATGTTTGACAGTTTTTGAAACTGGGTGATGGGTACATAGAAATTCATCATGCTGCTTTTTCTATGTATTTTCTAAGACTGCCATAATAAATACCACAGACTGAGTGGTTTAAACAAATTTTTATTCATTCATTTATTTATTTATAGATGGAGTCTCGCTGTGTCACCAGGCTGTAGTGCAGTGCTGTGATCTTGACTCACTGCAACCTCTGCCTCCCAGGTTCAAGCGATTCTCCTGCCTCAGCCTCCCAAATAGCTGGGACTACAGGTGCATGCCACTACACCCAGTTAATTTTTGTATTTTTAGTAGAGACGGGGTTTCACCATGTTGGCCAGGATGGTCTTGATCTTTTGACCTCGTGGTCCGCCCGACTCGGCCTTCCAAAGTGCTGGGATTACAGGCGTGAGCAACCACGCCTGGCCCAGAAATTTATTTTTTTATCACATTTCTGGAAGCTAGAAGTCCTGAGATGGTGATTTATTTTGAGGCTTCTCTCCTTGGCTTGTAGATGACTGCCTTCTTCCTTGTCTTTACATGGTCTTTCCTATATGTGTCTCTCCTTCTTATCAGGGCCCCAACTATATTCAATTAGGACCCACCCATATGACCTCATTTTACCTTAATTACCTCTTTAAAGGCCCTGTCGCCAAATACTGGCATCTTCTGAGGTACTGGATTAGGACTTCAGCATGCACATTTTGAAGGGACATAATTCAGCCTGTAACATTTTGCTTTGTATGTTGTGAATTTTCCATAATGAGAAGTTTTTGTAAGTTTTATAAATATAAATGAGATCATATTACTCCAATCTGCCCCCACCATCCAATAACTTTCCATCTACCTGCTTTGGGGAATTCAGAGGTTTATCACCTAGTAGTTAATCAATTTTATAAATTTTTCTGTGACTTGAAAGGGAAGATATGGCCTGGGCATGTAGGCCCAAAGTTATTTATATGTATTTACATGTTCAGTGTATTCATTATAGTTTGAAAGTTTTATGCGTTGTTTTTGCCAACATAATTAAAAGCCAAAAGTACGGTTTTTAAAAAATCTATTTCATATAAAAGCCAGATTCTCTTCTTCCTTTCAAAATTGACTCTTAGCAGGTCTATATATTTATGATACTGTCAGAAATATTAGCTGATTATCACAATTCATTGTCTTAATGATCTCAGAAAAAAATTAAGAAACCTGTTTCTCTTTCTAGCCTCCATCAAGAAATCGGCGAGAGAGAGCTGAGCTAAGGCCAGACTTCTTTGACTCTGCAGCTATCATAGAAGATGATTCAGTAAATGTTAAATTATTACTGCTTTTTATTTATGGTTCCTGGGTCCTGTTTATGCATGAAATTAATAATTATGTTTCTCATCATTTTTCTAGGGATTTGGAATGCCTATGTTCTGAAGTCTGAAGAAAATTTACAAATCTGGAACTCTATTATTTAGAGCTAGAGGCCTATATACTGTGATAGCTTGTAAGGGGAAAAACACTTTTGATGTGATCTGATTTGTTTTTTAATCAAATGATTAAGGTCAATCCCTTTTTGCAGTGACGGAAGAGGAGCATGTAAATTACCCAAGGGAATGTTGGTGAATGTCCACTCAGAAAGACTGACCTGAAAATCATTTGTGTCCTACTATTGGACTTATCCCAATACAGATGTGTGTGTTTTTCTGGAGGGAGGAAGAAATTTTAAATTTTTAAAACAGCTGTCAAGATAAACACTGTTATACACCTGTTTTATGAAAACTCAACATTGAGTAAAAAAAAAAATATTTTTAACTTTATTTTCCTGTTGTACAATTTAAAAACCGTTTTAACATTTTGCCTTTTTATGTTTTAAAAGCTAACCATTTTTATTAAACCTATGAGTAAGCAGCTCATCCTAATTGCCGAAGAGTGTTTTGGAGCTCACTGGATTTGGTTGACCTTTGTGGAACACAAATAATGAAGGAGCAGAACATTGACAAGCTAAGATGAAATTCTGACATAGTGCATCTCTGCCAAAAACCACACACCCTCTGTGGATATGGATATGAAATTCCCAGATTTTATATACTCTTGAATAAAAAGGTTTATTTTTATTTATAAGTGGGCATAAAATAAGAAATGTCCATGCAGCCATTTTTCCAACAGATGCTGTACACCGTTCATTTTATATAGACTAGGGAGATTCAAATACAGTGCATTTTCTATTGGTATTTGTTCTGTGCATTTTTAGCAACTTCTACCAGCAAATAAAGTATTCTCAGTAAAACGAAAATGATTCTCAAGTTATCAGTTTGCTGTTTTTACCACTTATTTCATGCCCTGCCAAATTCAAGTTACACAGACTTCCATTTTCTTAAGATAATCATGAAGAAATCCTTTATCATTCGAAAGTAATTTTAAGTGTAACATAACTGTGTCTACTTCCCATGCACTTAATACCCTTATGCGCTAATTTTGTGAATTAAGTTTACTGATTATAGAAGTATGTGCTGCATAGAAGTCTGTGCTTAGAGGGTGAAGTTCCTAAGCTTACCTTGAATTACAGCTACATTTCAGTGTTAAATGTGCATATTAAGAATAATTCTTTTGGGGAAAGAAATTATGAATCTTCAGGACAGTCTACAATGGTTTAGAGTTGCATTCTGCCTAGACTTTTATGACTTGCTGCTATTGTTTTAAAAACCCCACTTAGTTTCTTCCTTCAGATTTCTAAAGTAAGCCTCAGAATTTCCAAACCAATCCATCCACAGCTGTTTCTGGGCTGGTTTTTAAAGTAGTTGCAACAGAATCATGAGGCTTTCCCTTTTTTATCAAATACAAAACACATTTTTAAAAATTCTGCACACCCAGTGATCATCTTTTGTGCGGGAAAGCAAGATGGATGATTTTATTCATCCTTTTAGTAAAGACACAAAACAGATTTTTCTCAACATTTGTACAGTTCTGAAAAAACCTGGTCACCAAAATGTTTTCTCTGCTAATTCAGCAATTCTTGGGCTCCAGTTAGGGGAGCTGGGGCCTCATTTTCTCCCAGAATTGTGGGCTTCACTGGAAGTGAAGGCGCAGGAATGACTGGACTGTCCACCCCAGCCCTGCCTGCCTGTGGTTTTGGCCGGGGAGCAAGCCATGAGGTGCCCTGGCACATGCACAAACTGATCCTTTGTGTGACAGTCTTGTATGGAAAACAGATGCTGACAGAATTGTAGACTACCATGCCACACAAAAAGGCTAAATATCTACTCCAATGGGTTTCCAGTTCAGTTTGAAGTCAATCAAATTTTTGTATTTTCGGTGTCTCCTTGATTGGTTTTGCTAGTAATTCTGTAAATTGTACATTTGCAATATGAGGTTTTTTTCCTTTTGTACAATTTGAAACTGATGCTTCACGTTTCCTTTAATAAACTATTCAAAATCAGGCTTGTGGTAGTCATCCTATTGTTCCTACCAGGTATGGCTTTAAAGAGATGATTTCCTATCCTGTGGCTCTTGAGAGAGTTTGCAATTTCTGATAATCTGTTAAATGACAGCAAGTTAACCGTATCAGTGAGGTGGTGGTTTTGTTGTTTTGGCTTTTTAATTTTTTTTAAGAAAGCAGAATTTAGGACTAGCTCACTTTCTTTCATTCCTTAGATTTCTCTAGAGTGTGTGTAGGCCAAGTCATCTTGGTTTAAGAAGGAGTCGCTTGCAAACTGAGTTTTGCATGAGGCATTCAGGGAACATCCAGTGGCCTGTAGCATGGGTCCTCCTGGCTTGAGACTCTGGGCTTATATGCATAATTGCACCCTGGCAGTGCCCTTTTGAAGACCACATAGATTCAGTGCAGCTGCAGAACTGTTTTCAGCCAGGCATGGTGGCTCACGCCTGTAATCCCAGCACTTTGGAAGGCCAAGGTGAGTGGATCACTTGAGCTCAAGAGTTTGAGACCAGCCTGGGTAGCATGGTGAAACTCCATCTCTACAAAAAAATAAAAAATTAGCTGGGTGTGGTGGCACACACCTATAGTCCCAGCTACTTGTGAGGCTGAGGTAGGAGGATAGCTTGAGCCCTTAAGGCGGAGGTTGTTGCAGTGAGCAGACATTGTACCACTACTGCACTCCAATCTAGGTAACAGAGCCAGACCCTGTCTCAAAAAAAAAAAAAGTTTTCTCTTGGCATTAGACCTCCTCGCTCTTAAGAAGTCATACCCTACACACTTCATGGGTCTGGCAATATGGGGTGAGTTCCTTAAACAGCCTAATATGCTTATGCAGAAAAGGCAAAGGTGTGGGAGACAAATCGGCAAGTAAGCTTTCCAGGCAGCCAGGGAAGGAAGGTCATACAAGGATGGTCTGTAATAGCTCATCTTGATGGTTACAAGAGTATGAGACTAGCTGAGGACTTTCCCTTGGGTCAGGCTTGCAGATCTCCAATTTGTGGCTTGACTGTAACTAACTCACTCCCTGTTTGCCCTTGTTCCCAGATAAAAGTCCATCAAGCAGAGACTAATATTTTCATGGGAAACAAAGGTCTGATGCCACTCAGGCTTGGTTTTTTTTTTTTGCAGGGGGTGGGGGAGACAGGGTCTCAGTCTGTCACCCAGGCTGGAGTGCAGTGGTGTGATCTCAGCTCACAGCAACCTCCGCCTCTGGGGTTCAAGTGATTCTCCTGCCTCAGGCTCTCGAGTAGCTGGAATTACAGGCACCCGCCACCACACCCAGCTAAGTTTTGTATTTTTAATAGAGACACGCTTTCACCATATTGGCCAGGCTGGTCATGAACTCCTGAGCTCAAGCCATCTGTCTGCCTTGGCCTGCCAAAGTGCTGGGATTACAGGCATGGGCCACCGCACCCAGCCTTGGACTTTTCATATTAGACCAAGCGCAGGTAAGATTCTATCCCTGCCTTTCTGAGTGTCTTGTTCTGTGGAAATCTCTTACCAGGCACCACTTTTTGAAGAGCATCTTCTCCCAAGAACACATAAAGGGGGTATTTTCACCACCCAGGACAGTAGGGACATGGTCAAAACTTAACTATTGAGGCTGCCACATTGGCTGGAATATGCCAGTTGGATTCCACAAAGGCCCCAGACTGAGGCACTACCTATCAAGTGGCTGTAGCTCCTGCTTGGAATTATAGAAATCCCATGCTGACATCAGAGGTGCACAGAGTATGAGGACCAATAGTTCTCTCTAAAAGGGTAAAGCCATAGCTCTCCAGAAATCCTTTGGAACCAGAAAGACAAAACAGTTACATCTGTTGAATAGGTGAAATGGGCTGATTGATTCATCAACTCCATCAAGAGTTAAGTCCACATGTGGACTTAACACAGGTTTCTTTGGCGGGACAGACCACATCTGAAGCACCAGCACCAGGACAAAGTATCAGTGCAACCAGAGGCAGAAAGTTGGGCTGGGGAGACCAAGGCAGGATCAAAAAAAGAAGCTAGAAGAACTTGGCAACAAAAGCACTTTCTAACAAGCATTAGAAGGCTATGTTGTGGATGTGCTTCCCATTACTCTAGCAACTCAGGTGACTGGCCATCTGTTGTTGGCACTGCTTTGCAAGGGATTCATGCAGGAGATAGGAAAGCTGTCTAAATGTAGTAGCTTTTTGGGTTCTTTGAGACACAAGCCTAGGGGAACAGACCACCAACCTCCCTGACCCCTACTCTTCTGCCAACGCTTACAAGTCCATCTCACCTTCCTCATCAGCTGAGTGGCAGTACTTTGAAATGATTAGAACACAGGCTTGGGGTCAAACCCATCTGAGTTCAAATCCCAACTTCACCACTTGTTAGCTGTGTAGCTCAGGATGAACTGGCTTAACACAAGGCAGGGGCAGGACCAGCAAGACCCTGGTGGTGCCTCCTACACCACAGCTCACCACATTATCTGCTCTCAGTTTAAAGACAGATGCTTGTCAGCTATCAGCTCAGTGGACCCAAGTATTTCCCATTTTTACAATCCCGTGGTTTTTTTTTTCCCCTTTAAGGTGAGGGCACCAGCTGGGAAAGGCATTCCCACACAACAGCCAAGAGAATACTCAACTGTCATTACTCTCAAGGCATTCCATGGTCCATGGAGGCTGGTCCACTTGACAAAGCTTCCAAGGTCTTGCAGCGTCGAGTTTCTTTGACCAGCTGAGTTTCTGTACGGGAGTTTCCCCACCATCCAAGGCTTCCGTAAAGCTGCTAGCCCAGTTGCTCTCCTGAGCTGGTTCCTCTACCATCTTACAGCCCCTCTACCATCTCAGTATCCAGATTGCACAACCTGGTGAAACGCTTCTTGGACTCTTCCCTCCAAAAAGAAAAAAAAGAGCTTGTATATACTTTTGTATGGACCATAGCAGAGATCACAAAAACAAAAACTGTTGGCTCAGAAACTCACTAGGGAAGCAAGGGAGGGACAGAGTGTCCAGGACCACCTATATGGGCTAAGGAGTCTGAAGAACAGGGAGCTCTGGAAGTGGTGCTGGAGCAGAGGAATGCAACAAAATAGGGATCTGGAGTTAGTATGGTAGCTGAGAACAGGATTTACAGCTTAGTGGGAGGCCACAGAGATCAGTGAAGAGACTGCTGCAAAAGTCCTTAGAGCCCAACTAGGATTGGTGACTGAAGGAGAGCAGAAAGATGCTTAAAAAATAAAAATAAAAATAAAAAAAGAATGACTCTTAAGGGCTACTGGGAATGGGGGGTAGGGGAAAATATTTTTGAAACAGGAAAAGAGGAGAATAAACAGTCACACATTAAGTTGACCTTGAAATAATGATTCACTGTCCAAGCAATGCTTAACAGATCTCTGGAGCCAAGGGAAAGCCATCAGTAGTGGCAGGGCCCTGGGTTTTCACCACAGAGGATGCCCAGGGGGCATCTTGGATCAGCACTCCATGGTTGGTCCTTATGCTCAAACTTAATCTCCAGTTCTGGTAAAACTGTTAATGCTTTACTTAGTAAAATCAAGTCAACAGTGTAGGAGGAAAGGCTTTAAAGTAGTTTACAAACAAAAATGACTAATTCACATTGATAACCACTCAGTTACTAATTCAGGTAACTTAACCATATATCTTCAGTTTAAAGACAAAACGAACTACAAAGAAGTCTTGAACTTTAGAAGGTTTATTGTTGATAGAGCTGTAGTGATTCTGAAACTTGTATTTATGGTAGCACTGAGCAAATGAGTGAAATATATTGAGAATAATGGGAGCCAGGGTTATTACTGCTGTAGTAAGAGAGACAATACAGAATGAAGGAAGGCAAAGAAGCACCCATGGTGTTGGATTAGAAGTTTCAGTATGAACTCATGATTTAAAAGTACGACAAATACGTATTCATATATACATGTGTCGCACATATATATACACACTTATTTGCATAAATTTTCCTAGTTCTGTCTGCTGAAATGCCTCAAAGCAATGATACTCCAGTATCAATGTGAACACTTAGTGACAATTTTAGCTTCTAAATGACATACCTACTAAAAGAAACTAAGAAACTACTACTATATACTACTACATACCTATTAAAGAAACTCCTTGGAGAAATTGCTGATTCCCGGATTGGGCAAGGAAAATATAAGATAAGCCTAGAGCATCATCTTGTCAGAAAATAAGGAAATACTAAAAAAATCAGTGGGATATATTAAAAGGACCTGGGGAGCCAGGTTGAAGGAGCTCCCACTAACCAAATTGGGTCATTTTAAGCATCAAAATGAGTAACATTAAATATTAAAAAAAAATCAACAACCAGGCAAGCCACGCCAACAAGTCTAAGTGGCTCACGCCTGTAATCCCAGCACTTTGGGAGGCTGAGGTGGTCAGATCACGAAATCAAGAGATCGAGACCATCCTGGCCAACATGGTGAAATCCCGTCTCTATTAAAAATACAAAAATTAGCTGGGCATGGTGGCGCACGCCCGTAGTCCCAGCTACTCGGGGAGGCTGAGGCAGAAGAATCACTTGAACCTGGGAGGCAGAGGTTGCAGTGAGTCGAGATTGCGCCACTGCATTCCAGCCTGGCAACAGAGTGAGACTCCGTCTCCAAAAAAAAAAAAAAAATCAACAAGTCCAAAATGATACTAAGAAAACAAAAACAGGAGAAAAGAAAGCTCTTCCTTACCTAGAGTTCCAACTAATAAATACAGATATAAGAGTTAGAAACAACATTTTATAATCAATGCAGAATCATTGATTGAGGCAAGAATCATCAATGAATACTCAAATTATTGGTGAAAGTTTATTTAATTCTTTGAGACAGAATCTAGCTTTGTCACCCAGGCTGGAGTGCAGTGGGGTGATCTCGGCTCACTGCAACCTCCGCCTCCCAGGTTCAAGCGATTCTCCTGCCTCAGCCTCCTGAGTAGCTGGGCGCATACCTCCACACCTGGCTAATTTTTGTATTTTTAGTAGAGAGAGGGTTTCACCATGTTGGCCAGGATGGTC